CATTATCAGAGATCACAAATTAGAATAGTTTTGTCTTTCACTACATCAGAGTAAATAAATAAAAAGGAGGGAGGAATGGCAACCCATGTAAACTCCCAGCCCATTTACAGTGTGTGACAGCAAGTCTGAAATTTCACACAGCCACTTCTGACCAAACGATCATGCACAAAAGTCAAATTCACCTTGGATAAATTCTCAAGAGGTGCTAAAACCCAGCTCTTACAATCCTAAACAACAAAAAACAGTTCAAGGAAGGGGACAAATGGAGTTTATCGCCCAGCCCAGCAGATGGAATGGCATCTCTCTCCTTCCCTTTTGCAACCTGACAGTTGAAGGAGTGAAGGAATCAAATATACTAGATAATTTGGGGGCTAAGGGACAATGAGCCCTGCACATTTTGCTTGCAAGTGGGCTGTTACTGGACCAATTTGAACAGAGCTCTAGACATACAATATATATAAGCCCAAATTCATGACGGCAGGAACGTCATAATTCTAGACGGTTTCATTTTGAAAGCAGAACTGCTGTTCAAGCAGAATTGCAGCTTCTTTGGCTTTAATTCACCCTCCTCAAGCATCCATTCAGTTTCAACCAGCTCCCTATTAGCATTACTCTGGAGGCCAGGACAAGGCTCCTCTGTACTAAACAGCTTAACAAGAAACCTCAAGATAATAATGTCTCAATGAACTCAAAAGATAATTGTACCTGGCAGCATTGAACATTTTCTCTGTGGCTGACAGAATTTCCTGCCAACATGCTCCTCCTACATGAATTGGACTCCAGAGAATACATAATTTATTTTAGTCTCTGCAGACTGATGGCAAGTGGTTCGTTTTTAGCGTTTGCTCTCTTGATGGGTTAATTGAACTGGCTGTCAGTGGCTGATATATGTTTATTTTATGCTGACTTGGGCTTTATTGCTGAATGGTTGCTGGGTTGGCTTTATTATATTTGTTGTGTTTTTAAACTTGTTTTACACTGTCATTGTATGTTGCTTAGTAAATCTTATTATTATTATGTGACTGGCAAATGCAAATAATAAATAAACGCTGCCAAGCCGAGGAAGTTTCCCTGGAGGTTCCTAACATCTTCCTTTTTCCTTGAAAACAGTGGCCTGGAAGCATCATTAAGGCTGCAATCTTATGCTCACTTACTTGGCAATAAAAAGTCAATAGGACTTACTTCTGACTAGACATATATTTGAAATATCTGATATTATTATTATTATTATTTAATCAATAATTTATCCCAAGATCCCAGGGAGATGTACAACATTAAAAACATTATTTTACATAGCATAATAATAAAAAGCAATAAAACAACCACAGAAAAACATCATAATAGAAGTCCTCCCTACTTTAAAAAGGCCATAGATTGTTTAATGGATGAAGGCCTGGGCAAGGAAGAATGTAACCTCAATAAGTGACCTAGGAGTAAACAATACACAGATCCAGAGTGGAGTCCCTAAGACGATTCAGTGGCACCTTGTATGCCTCCTTCCGGCAACTCCTGCAGGCTTGCGTCCCAGAGAGGTCACTTCGGTGCTGTTATCACAGCAGTTTGACTTCACCCCCAGAGGCATACTCCATTGTCTCTCAAGACAGCCTGATGCCAACAAGCCCCACTGAATGCAACAGTTCCAAAAAAATTCTCAGGCTATTTTTTTAAAAAAAAGATATTTATTGAGATTTTCAAAATATTACAAAATGAAAAAAGAAAAATACAAAATAAAAATAGTTAAAAACAATTCCATCTTTCCATTACTTATCTTTCATTTGCTTGTTTCCCGGACCTCCTCACACCTCCCTTTTTTGTATTCCAGTTCAATTTGTTAGTTCAGCAAATCCTTCCTCTTTGTTTATCCTAGTCTTTAACTTAAGTTTTAACATAAATTTTACCTTAATGAATCCATTTCATATTCCTTTATAGCATACGCTAGAAGCTAACTCTTACCAACACATCTAACATCGTTATTTACAGTATTCTGTAGTAGCCTTAATTTCTTCGTCTTCTCCACGACTTTCTCCTGGTCTCGGATTTGCGTCATTCGCCATCAGTATCACACCTTATCTGCCATCTCAGTGGGTAGATCTTGTTCTTCAATACTTCGCGATGATATTCGCTGCTGTGTGGCTAAATCTCAGGGATTGTGGAGGAGGTAAAGTATCAGATGAGATAGCAGTGGTTCACTTCCTATCTTCATTCAAGTCATGAGTGGGAAGCTTACGCCTGTCGCATGGAAAAGGTCAGTGGCTCATTCCCAGCATCTCCAGGCTTACTTCATGTGTCCTATGCAATTGTGTAGCAAGTATCAGCAGCTACACAATCTAGTGAGCACAGATCCTTATCATGAATCTTACTTACATATTCTGTTGAAAAATATCGGGTATGTACCTTTATTCTGTTTTGTATATTCTGCTTTATTTTACAATGTGTATGCAGGTAGTTCAGTTTTGTTACCATTCATCTGTTGCATGCCTTGTATCTTATTTCCAGCTGATGAAGACTACAGTGGTACCTCGGGTTAAGAACTTAATTCGTTCTGGAGCTTCATTCTTAACCTGAAACTGTTCATAACCTGAGGTACCACTTTAGCTAATGGGGCCTCCTGCTGCCGCCGCCACCGTGCGATTTCTGTTCTTATCCTGAAGCAAAGTTCTTAACCCGAGGTACTATTTCTGGGTTAGCGGAGTCTGTAACCTGAAGCGCCTGTAACATGAAGTGTCTGTAACCCAAGGTATTATGAAACAGTAGCATCATTCCGGAGACACTGTCCTTTTGATGTTTTTGAGAGGTCTTCCGCTGAAACTTTTGAAAAACTATTGAGAAACTTTACTTTTGAAACTTTTGAGATGTCTTCTGTTGATACTTTTGAAAGACTATTGTGAGACTGTCCTTAGACATCTGTTTTGAACACACGGCTTGACAGTCCTCGCTCTGTTATATTGTATATAAGAGCTTTGATTGGCTTACTCCTATAATTTGAATGACCTCATTATTCTATTATATATTTTCTATGAACCATTAGCCTACATGTTCTGTTTGTATCGTTGTGATTAGTTCTTATTGCAACACAGGGGTTTGTTTCTAACTCAATATAGGGCAGATTTCTGTGTGCTCGGGTCAGAGGTGTAGGCACAACCTCAATATGGGGCAGCGATTTTACTAGGTTTGCTAGTAAATAAGCTTTGCTCTGTTTCAGATCAGGCATTCATGCCACCAAAGACTGTGCTGCCTAACATGCTCTGCCTAGAATTGTGTCTGGGTGTAAAGTGGACTCAAAACACGGGCAGCTTACAGGAATTGGGCTAAAGCAATTCAAGTGCCCATGCCCCTGGGATACTATCGCTTACTAAGTGCTCTAGCATATTCTTTCTCTTTCTGGGCACTGTAGTTTGCTCAGAATTGCTGGGGGTTGTAACTTAGTGGGAGATAAACTACATTGCCCAGAATTCGTTTGAGGGAAGGAATGTGCTTTGAACGTGCTTTAAAAGTATATACAAACACGCCCCCCCCATCTCTCTCTGTACAGCAGAGCAACATAGGAGAGATCTTGACCCCGGTCATGTGCAAGGCTGTTGAAAACAAGCTACCACGTATTATGATGCCTCGCCCTAGTCTGGAGAGGCAGGAAGTACAGGATTCCAGTCGAGGCAGGAGACAAAGTGGGGCTTTGGGGGTGAAAGTGAGCGGTCCATTTCAACCCGAAGTTCCTCAAAACACGATAGCTTAGTCGCAACTCCTTTATGTCAGTGTCGTGGGTGGGTCAAGCCCCACGCTGGGCAAAAGATTCCTGCATTACACGGGGTTGGACTAGATGACCCTCGGGGTCCCTTCCAACTCTACAATTCTGTGAGCCTATGAAATAGGTTTACAGGAGTTTCCTGCTGCTGCGCCCCCACATCCCATCCCATTTCTCCGTCTCCTGCGCGCGCGCCCCCGAGGCGAGCCCCTGCTCAACAGTCCCCATCCACTGGAGGTCCAGCCTTCCGGGTTTCAGGCGAAGAGCGAGCCTTGATGCCGGCGCTCTGGTTCCACCGCCCGCCCTCCCCCCCGGCCGTCCTGGCGCCCCTTCCTCTCCCGAATAGGCTGCTTGGTCTCCGTCGCGCGCGCCGCTCGCTCCCGCCGCTCCTGCGCCGGGCGAAGGGCAAGAGCAGCCCCAGGCACCTGCCCGGCTTGGCTCTCCGACCTGCGCCCAGAACCTGGCCCCTGCGTCACGTGGCTGGGGCCAGCCAATCGGGGGCCAGCCAGGAGGTGGGTTGTTTTTTGTTTTTTTTTCGGGAGCAGCCGCTGTCGGAGAAGGAGGTTGGCTGGGAAAGTTGCTCTTTCGCCGCTCCGTGTCGCGCGCCCTCGCCCGCCTCTCGGCGTTGCTGCTTTGAGCAGAGGGGGCCACGCCGCTCGCCCCCCCCGGACCTCCCTTTCCCGCCTTCGCTGCCGGAGGCGGGCCGCTTTACCTGTTGCTTCAGCCGCCGCCCCGCGCGCCCTTTTGCCTTCCTTCTCCTCACCTGGCCCCTCCTGCCTTCCCTGGGAGACCCCGGAGCGCGCTCGCCTTTTGCCCTTCCGGTCAAGCCTTTTCGCTCTTTCTCTTCCCTTCTTCCGGCCTGCGTTGTCCCCGAACCTCTCTGCTTCCCGTCCCCAGTCTGTGGACCAGAGCCCTTTCCACTTCCTCCCTTGCTTGGGCGCCTTCCGCTGAGCCCCCACAGCCTCCCAGCTTAGGCTTCCTGGACTGGGAGACCCTCCCACTCTCCACCTAGTTCTTTCATTCATTTTCTCCTCCTTATGACCCTTGCCCTGACTCGCCCCCCTCCTCCAATCCTCTGCTCCCCTCCACACTCCCAACTTCCTGCCCTTGCTCTTCCAATGCCTCTGCTGCTCCCTTCTAGCTTGCTCCACTTCCTCTGCCATCACATTCCTGCCCAGTTGAAGCGTTGAGGGGGATGGTCTTCTTCCAGAGGCTTCCCTGACTGTTCCCAATGCTGAGGCCAAAGTGGATGAGATCTGGGCCCCCGCCTTGACCATGGCCTTGGTGAGCTCCGAGGGAGCGGCTGAAGGGACCTCGGGGACCACCGGCCGTACCTCCTGCCCGCTCTGGACCGTGCTCTATGACTACGAGGCCTCCGGGGAAGATGAGCTGAGCCTGCGGCGAGGGGAAGTGGTGGAGGTGCTCTCCAAAGATGCAGCGGTCTCCGGAGATGACGGCTGGTGGGCTGGCAAGATCCGCCACCGCCTCGGTATCTTCCCGGCCAACTATGTGACCTACCAGCCGGGACGCTACCAACATCCCCCGCTGGGATTGCTGGAAAAGTCTGGGCATGAAGCCCAAGCCCAAGCTATGGGCGATGGGCATCCTGTCAGTGGTGAAGACCATTTGGGTTCCCTAGAAGAGATTAACTTTCAGCATCTGGAACTGCAGGAGATCATTGGAGTTGGAGGCTTTGGCAAAGTTTATAAAGCAAAGTGGAAGGGCCAAGAAGTGGCGGTGAAAGCAGCGCGGCAGGACCCAGATGAGGACATCAAGGCCACGGCAGAGAGTGTGAGGCAGGAGGCAAAGTTGTTCTCCATGCTGAAACATCCCAACATTATTGAGCTTCATGGTGTAAGTTTGCAGGAGCCCAACCTCTGCCTGGTCATGGAATATGCTAGGGGAGGACCCCTCAACAGAGCTCTGTCAGGGGCCTCTCCCTCCACCAGTGGGAGTAATTGGGGCCGTCGGATACCTCCTCATATACTGGTCAACTGGGCCGTGCAGATAGCTCGAGGGATGCTTTACTTGCATGAAGAAGCCTTAGTATCCATCCTTCACAGAGACCTCAAGTCAAGCAACAGTAAGTACAGCGTTCAAATAGTTTAAAAACTGAGACAAGTTACATTTTCCTTTCCATTTTTAAATGTTGCAATCCCGAACAGCACTGTGAGAAACATTGTTTTTAAACAATGTGGTGTTCTAAGTGAAGGCAATGAAATATTTTTTTCTGTAAAACCTGGGTTTGGCAATGCCACAATGAAGCTCTAACCTCTTGAGTCAAGTTGGATAAAAGAGTCAAGTCTCAAAAGCAAAAGTTAGACTCTAGGCATTTGTACTGGGATTTGAAATCAGTACTTTTTCTTTTCCCATTCAGAATCTGCCTTTCAATTATTCTATGTTACAAGATAATCCAGTTCTGTTGCATGAAGTTTCTTTTCTGTTGTCGCAACACCATTGTAGATGCACAAGCTGTTCAGTTTTTAGCTGTGTTTGCATTCTTAGAAAACCTGAGCAGCCTCTTAAAGAAAAAGGGTTTGGGTGACATTTTTCTTCTGAAATTTTGTTTTCAGCATTGTTGATTATAAAAACAACAAAAGCATTTTGTTTGTTTGTTTTAGGAGTTATATTTAGACTAGGGCTGCTGCTTATATACACTACCTGGCTTGTAAATATTGAAAATCTAAAATAGTAACGCTGCTCAAATCCGTGGACTGTTGTCGTTTGGTGCCATTTTGTTAAATCTGGGAGGAAGCAGTCTTACTTCACCAATAGCTTATTATTGTTTCCAGGTGCCTGAGGTGTTTAATGTCATAATTTGAAGGGTGGTAAGTGTGCAGAACTGCCATAAAAAAGTGTTTCATTGCCTTTTCCTGTCCTTGTGTACCATGTCAGATGGGTGGGGAACAAATAATAAACTACTGCTGCTACCGATGATGATGATTATTAATGTGGATTGTGAGGATCAGTGTTGCTTCGGGTGTGGGGTTCGTGCCACATACTGAAAGCTCATAATGAAGGATCCCATTGCTTTTCAAGTGGAAAAGAGAGGGGGAATTTCTTATTCTCAAAATATCCTGTTGCAACACGTAGAATAAGCAATGGTGGAATAGTTTGAAAATTCAAAATGAGTGAAGAAAGCTTCCACGTTTTCCTGCTACGACATGGCCAGTTTACTTTGTTGGACCAGTATTTTCTAGTTGTTGATATTAAAGGAGGATTCCCTCCCCCCCCCCGTACTCACACTACAGTAGTTACGTTAGTCCCCTTAAGCTTCTGCAATGGCACCCTCTTGACTTAATATAAAGCTGCTGCTTCTCAAGACACCCACCCAAATGGCACCTTAAACCTACGTTATAGTTGCCACAATAGAATAAATTTATCATTATTAATTTCATTTCTATACCACTTTATATTTTAAAGAAAAATATCTGAGTGGTTTACAGCATATTAAAACATCAAATAAAACAATCCAGAATAAAACAAATTCAAGCTTCAAATAAAATATTTCAGATCCTTCTCTAAGTGACATTTTCCCCCATATTTATTTACCTACTTAATTTATATAGATGCCCCATAGCAGAAGTACTCTAGGAAGTCAGTGTGGTGTAGTGGTTAGAGCATCAGACTAGGACATGGGAGATCAGGGTTCAAATACCCACTCAGTCATGAAGCTCACTGGGTGACCTTGGGCCATTCACAGCCTCTTAACCTACTTCACAGGGTCATTCTAGGGATTAACTGGTGGGGGGAGGGTGACCCAATTTGGATGTAAAATGAAGCCAGGCATCGTGGCTTGATCTTCCCACATATGCTGGGGGAGAACTATCCGCACATCATGGTTAACTATGGTTTACTGTGACATGACAAGGAGAAGGGGGCGACAGAGGACGAGATGGTTGGATAGTGTTTTCGAGGTTACCAGCATGAGTTTGACCAAACTGCGGGAGGTAGTGGAGGACAGAGGTGCCTGGCGTGCTCTGGTCCATGGGGTCACGAAGAGTCGGACACGACTAAACGACTAAACAACAACAACAAACTGTGACATGTGAACACAACCACTGTTTCACTTGTGTAGCATATAAGGGTTGTTTATTTCTTATTTGACATTATGTGTGCAGGTCAGAAGCTTGTGCCTTCTTGCATTTGTGTGCAGATGTTTATGCATGCACACACACTGCATGTAAGTGTTCTGTCACTTGTTTGGGATCTGTGCACCAGCTGCAGTCTGGAAATTGCTACCAGAAATGGAATGGAAAGAAGTCCTCTTAAACCAAATTCTATGTGTGCAGCTTAAGCATGAATGGACATCCCTCTGCCATGGTCCATAAATATGAGGCTGAAAATCATTCAAATGTGAAATATGACTAAATGTAATGAGATTATGGGAAAGTTCCAATAAGGTAGCAGGAGAGGTGGAAAGGCCTCATTTGACTCCTCCAAGCACCCAAGGAAAAAGCTAGATATTTATTCTCTTGCAAAACTGGTTTTATCTTTAAATACTGCCTTATTTCTGGGGAAGAAATGAAAACGCCCCAAAGTTGCAGTTTTAAATATATTACCGTGAAGTATGTTCTATAGATCCTAGTGGGACTTACGTTCTGGATAAACATGCTTAGGGTTGGATTAGATAGTGCAGATGCTGATGTGCTACATTCTGTAGTTATCTCTAGAGTGCAGGGTTGCTCCCAAGCTACACGCTTAACCCCTGAGTCATAAACACCCTTCCATCTGGGCTTTCTTCAGAATAACCAAATACCATATTTTTTGCTCCATAAGACACACTTTTTTCCTCCTAAAAAGTAAGGGGAAGTGTCTGTGCGTCTTATGGAGCAAATGTGTGGTTGATCGCTGGCCCCCTTTCTGGCCCCGCCCCTTGCCCCGGCCTCCATTGTTGAATGTTCTGCAGATGGAGGCTGTTTGTTTTCCCAGCGACATGTGACTGGATGATTAGATTATCTGTCTGGAAACTGTAGAAACAGCTCCCCTTCCTTTCCTAAAGAAGCTGCAGAACTGTGAGTTGAACCCCATAAAAACAAGATTTTTTCCCTTTGCAAAAGAAGCTGCACAACTTTGAGCTGATCCCCCAAAAAACGGGGCTTTCCCCCTCTAAAAACTAGGTGCGTCTTATGGTCAGGTGCGTCTTGTGGAGCAAAAATATGGTATATATCCCAATTGCATTCTAGCCATAGCACAATGGTCTCACAATTGCTTTTCAGCAATAATAACATGATCTGCTATCCACACACAAATGGGGTAGAATAGCCTTGCTACATGCAAGGCAGCTTGGTTGTGATGCAATTAAATTCTTTAGAGATGTAAACAAAATCTGGCTAGTTCCCTTCAGGGTAGGAGAAGTGCTGGTTTTTATACTTCTAGAAATGGGGAATTGGCCATCGTGAGTTTCTCCCTTCCCAAAGGCCATGGTGACTGCAACCTGTAACCTGCATGGCACCTACGGAGCCTTATTTGCATGTCTGCTACCTCCTCCCATGTTCCATCATAGGAAGATTACAGGATGCAGACTCATAGCTTTTCACCAGCTAACTTTTTAAAAACTCTCTCCCTCTCTCTCCTGTCTGCCTCACTTTGTTCAGCCTGATGAGAAGTTTTGGGGAACCTGAAAGGTTGAATACGATTTTGTGACATACTCTTTGGCCTGATACATATTGCCCTTATATGGATTTTGAAACAATGGCCTGATCCGTGCCATACATTTCAGTATCTTGTGGTTTAAAACAGTCATGGATTCCTCCAAAGAATCCTCCAGATTTGGAGCATACCTGAGGGGCAGGGAAGCTGCAGGGTGGAGAATAAGCATATATCCCATTTGCAGATGTTGGTGGCCACATTCGGATATCATCCTTGAAGTATATCCAACCAGCAAGCTCCAGTGGTAAAGCACAAACACCAAACTGAAAAGAATTGACATCTGGAGAAATGGGTACCTTCACCTTCTGTACCACCAAGCCTTATTTTCAAAAAACTCATTTTAATTATTTTATATATTTTAAGGAATTTATATTCCAGCTTCCACAATAACAGCTATGATTGGGTGGCCTACATAATTTAAAACAAAGTAACATAATGTCATAAAAGAAGCTGGACAACAACAGAGACAAGTTCATTAGATTAAAATACAGCCAGCACTGAAGGTACCAAAAAGATAGGAACCCAGAGTCCGTGTCAGGAGTGTTTCCACTTGGTGTCCAGAAGGATTGGGGATGCATAAGGAACAGCTGCCAAGTTCTCTCTCCAGCCTAACAAGCAGGCTGGTGGCCACAACTTTGGGTGACCTTTCAGAGAGGCAAAGTGTGTAAAGGAATGAGCGAGTGACCCCATGATACAGCACAGTGTTGTGCAGCATAGATGAGAAGAAAGATATAGTGACTATGGCAGGAAAAGAAAGCCACTACATAAGAAGGCTAGTGGCATATTTAGGAGGTTGCCAGAAACTTGCCATGCATACTTGGCCCACCTGCAGCTGCTTAGCAGAGCAAACCCATTAGCCATTCCTGCTACTATTTTAATTATTAGCTGTTTTGCATTATATAATATTGTACTATATGGTGGAGTTTGGGGGCGGATCATAAAATTGTGTAATGGTTAGAGGTGGCTGCATATGTTGAGTCATGAGGTTCTGCAGCAGAGTTGTTCTGCCTACAGTAATGAAGGTAAGGTGCAGGTCATTTATAGGAACAAGCTGCTTCAGTTTGAGCCAGCAAAGCACAGGAAATGCCCAGGCTATCCTGAACTTCCTTTTAGTCAGCTTCCTTTATGACTCCTGAAACTGAGCATTCCATTATTGTCTCATCTTAAAGCCAAGAACATATGCTGCGATTAGATAGCCTTTCCCTTGAGGTTTGATTAGAAATTATGACAAATGTCATAATTTCTCTCCACCCACACCCTGCCTTATGCACCCAAAGGCTTATTGATTGCTAGGCATTATACTAGTGCTTCTTTTGCTCTGTGTGGGGATAGTCGGTGATGCAATAGAGGATGCATGAGAAAATAATAAGGAAGCAATCCCTTGGGAATTGTATTGATGTGAAAGGTTAATCACATCCCTTTCTGCTAGAT